ATATAATAAGAAAAAACTGTTAAAACAGTTTGAAAAGACTTGAAGCATCATATTTGTACAAGAACAAATGACATAAGAAACAAAGTAATGACATAAGACACAAAGTAATGCAATAAGAGACAAAGTAATGCAATAAGAGACAAAGTAATGACATAAGACACAAAGTAATGTAATAAGAGACAAAGTAATGACATAAGACACAAAGTAATGACATAAGACACAAAGTAATGTAATAAGAGACAATGTAATAACATGAGACACAAAGTAATGTAATAAGAGACAAAGTAATGGCATAAGAAACAAAGTAACGACATAAAATGCATAAAAGGTATTGAAGGTAAGTTAAAAGGTCAATATCAACTAATTAGTATACCATAGTCTCCCATTCTAAAATAGCAATCACTACACATCCACCAAATTAAGTCTGAAGACGTCATAAGCAGTTTGAGAAAAATATCACCTTGTGCAATGCCAAAATATAAGTATGGACAGGATGTATCACCATAAGTGTTCTATAATACCTGAATAGCAATACATCTTTAGTTGTGTATTAAACTATAAAACATGTAAGCACCTAAAATTACAATATTCACAAATCTTAATAGTGGTTAATTGATAGCATTTAATAATTAGTCAATTGAAAGGAATAGATATTTTATATGGATTGTACCTTAACTTATTAGCCCTATAAACAATAAATTTAGGATGTGATATCCCATTTTTATGAGATTTCGACTGGTTCAGCCCACTTCGTTGTATTTCCTCTACAAGGATTCTCAAATATCATTTCAACGAGACTAGTGTTTAATGAAAAAAAAACTTTCGCATTTGAAAAGTAGACTGAGAAGAAATGTGTATGCATTGTTTGTTGCATACATGACTGATTTAAAAGCAAATGATTTGCCAGTTCTACAGAAAAAAAAAAAACCTGCATATAAGTCACACGACGAATGCCAGTTTGAGAAGGAAATGGTTCTTTTCCAAGGCACTTGGGTTAATTCCCGGTTTTGTTATACGGTCTGTAGCTTGCTGGGTTCAGTTTTGAGTACTGTTCTTCAGTTTTGTTTTTGTATTGTTAATATTTTTGGTTATTGTCCCTTGTTACTGATCATCTTTTGTGCAAAAAGAAAAAACACCATCTTGAAAATTGAAAATGACTTTGGACAAAAAATGAATTAAAATATTCGGGATTAAGAATGAATATTAGAGAATCAGCAAACTGCCAAATATTCGAATGCAACATTTAAAAATTTACAGCAATTTGCCAATATGTAAACTGTTTAAGTTTCAAAAAGTGTTGCGAATTCTGGACGTGCGTAGTTTTTTTTTTTAAGTATTGATGAATAGCATTTAATCATTGATGGTCTTTCTTGTTACCAACGGAAAAATCTTTCTGTATTTTAGTAAAAACAAATATATTTTTTTATTTTCCGCCAATGTTAGAAACCTCGACAGGAAAAATATAAGCGACATATCGAAATTAATTGTTTGATGTATCGGGCAGCTATAAGCTATTTAAAATCGACTATGGTAGACCGAAATATCTTTCCTTACAAAGTTATCTCCCTGAAAACCGAAAGCCTTGTGATAGGTTATACACAAAAAACGTAATAGGTTATGAAAAAACAAAGGAAGGGTAATGTTCCATAACTCGTTGAGGTTCTTCATTGTCTTTTGTCCTAACAATTCGGCGAATCCGTATTAAAAGTAACTACGCTTGAAATCTGAACCGTCTCTATAAAACGTCGAAACTCGAAAACTAAAGTCATGGAGACCTACGATCTTCATCTTCACAATTGGTTTTCTTGACACCAAACCTTGACAAAGATCCAAAGGTCAAAGGTTAAGGTCACCGTAACCTTTTCACTGTAGGCTTTGTCATGGAATGAACTCACAAACTGTTTAAGTTAGAGAAAAACTAAAAATTGGAAAAGTGTGATAATCCCAACTAAGGTTTGAGAAATGTCATAGCGATTACTCGAAACATATATGTTGTAGGGAACTCAGGTTTTTATCATAGGCCTCCTTGTAATGTGATAAGGACAATCGTCAATGTCAATAGTCACCCCGACCTTTGCATATCATACCTTTTTCCTTAAGGGCATACGATACAGAAAAGATTTCTCGTTGATTTTTCCTTCACATTTTGACACAAAGTCAATTATGATATGCACTATCGAAGTAGACAAAGAACTTTCCGAAACGGAAAGAAATATTTTTATCCGTTATTTTGCAAAGTGTCCTCAATTAATAGGCCCTTAAATGAAGGATAAATGGGATTAAGTTTTTTTTGAAATCATACAATTATTTATGATAAAAAAACTATAGGCAATTTTCTCGCCAAAAAAATGCTTATAGAAAAAATACCGTTGAATTTTTTTTCTTGCATATGACCAAGACTTTAGTCTTCTTCATTCCTTGTGGAACATAGGGCTGCCACAGTCGCTATCCACCTTACTCTGTTTTGGACTGTTCTTCTCGCTTCGCTCCAGGTATATCCGATCTCCGCCAGCTCCTTCAGTCTTCTCCAGCTGAGTAATGGTCTTCCCTGTCTCCGATATCCTTGAGGGTTCTATTCTAAAGCCTGTCTAGTGATGGTATCAAAAGGTTTCCTCAAGGTGTGGCCAATCTATTGCAATGTTCTTCTCTTTAGCTGTTTAATTGCTGGTTCCTTGTTGGTACGTTCCCATAAGCTTTTATTATTTATTGTTTTTGGCCACCAAAATTTACAAACTTGTCGCAGGCATTTGTTGATTGAATCCTGGATTTTCTGTTGTACTCCAGCTATAAGTCTCCAGGTTTCAGTTGCAATTTTGATTTTGTTGGCAGTTTTGAAACTGCTTACCCTTTCCAGACAAATGATTTCCTTCAACACCTTGTGTTGTTTAACGTTTTCTGTGCAGTATTTAGTAATACTTAATTGTAAAGGGTCTACAATTGTGCGTATTTATTCAATATATATTGATTTTTTGCGACACAACGATTTCTTATCAACAGAATGAGTACTAAAATCTTGCTTTTAGAAACAGTCAGGATTCTGCAATACAATATATTATAGACAATTTTACCTATTATGTCTGTTTATTTTGCTCACAAATTGTTGTCAATATAAGGGAATTCTATGCATCTGTAATACAAGTGAGAGGTTTAGCTAGCTATAAAACCAGGTTTAATCCACTATTTTCTATATAAGGAAATGCCTGTACCAAGTCAGGAATATGACAGTTGTTTTCAATTCGTTTGAGCTTTTGATTTTACCATTTAGTAAAGGACGTTTTGTATTGAACTTTCCATGGAGTTCGGTATTTTTTCTATTTTAATTTTTGTTAATCAACTTTCATGATTTCGCAACGATTTATATTCGCTTTATTTTTCTACTCTCGAAAATGTGTTGGTTTACGCTTAATTTATTCAAAATTTATAAATTGATCAACGGATAATTCAACAAAGGTATGTTATAAATCATACTCACGTCGAAACCTTGAAAACTGAGCTGTGAATAGCTGAGGTACTCTGAGGAGCAATTCAAATTATATATTGTAGTAAAGTTTTAGAACCGTCAGACAAACGTATGATGCATATGTAATTCGTACATATTTTACATTTGACTGTTTTCCCCTGGTAAGCAGACGACAACCCTTTTGAATTGAATCAGGTGACATTGGCCATTACAATTGTAGTTTCAGTACGTCTGAAAAGTCCAATCGTGTTAAGTTAAAGCTATGTCGCTTCTCCTGAAACTTCTAAGTTGATGAATGTGGTAAATCTATTTACCAATGTAAAAGTTTGCATATAACTTTTGTTAAATTAACATTAAGACAAAGACTTAAAGATTACTCTGTTTCTTTTCCGCCATTCCATTAGTCATTAAATGACTATTATCAAATTGTTCATCAATGAAATTTTACCTGTGAAAGGCAGGAAGTTAGCACATAGCATGGCATTAGCAGTGGGAAATCTAGTGACAAAATATTACCTCCCCTGTAAACATTGAAAACTAGATCTTCTCAATGTTTGTCTCATTTTAGCAAGGACGCTATCAATTATTGATTCACGGAAAAAACGTTCTGGTAAATAGTAAAAATGGAAATAGATTGAAATAAAAAAAACTTCCACTCAATGTTATCCTTTTGGAGTATCAACTTCATTTTTTTTTATTGTCTGTATACCTCTCTGGAACATGCTAAGTTTACGTATATATACAATATACAATATACAATATTTTTATTGTCAATCAAGGACGCCCTTAGAGGGCAGTATAAATAAAGATAAAAAAAAAAGAGGGCAGTATAATTGCAAACAATTTATTACAATGATTATTATTAATTCTTAAAGATATATGACAAAATATAGGATAGAAGAAAATAAACATTTTAAATCAGTGGTTTCCGTTGCTTGCTGGCTATTTGCCATATTTGTATTTCATTCATTGTAGTATAAATCATGGATTTGGTTTCTTCGTTTGAATTATGTCACATTTGTCATACCGGGGTCTTTTACAACCTACAATACGGTATAAGTTTTGCTCATTGTTGACGCCCGTATGATGACCTGTAATTGATCCCATTTTTGTCCTTTGGACTTGAAGTAATTTTTGTTTCATTGGTAATCATACACCATCTATTTTTTATTATATATCTACATGTAGTATGTAAGAATGTTAGCGTCATATAAATATATAAAAGAACACAATGAATCAATTTGCTTTATTGAGTAATATTACGGACTTGATAGATCCTAACTGACATTGCGTGAAAAAAAAAAACAATTAAAATTGGTCAGGAGTAGAAGATTTATGCAATATGAGGTTTAGCTGTTTTTTCCGTTGCCAATCTTATTTGTTAACAGAATCGGGGGAATTCTTCCCTTTTGCTTTTTATACTTTTTTTCCAACTCGGAAAGACACCATTCATGGATCATCTTTATTTCTATGACATTTACCTAGAATTCCGAACTTTATTTCTTTATAAACAAGTTTCCTACATTTTTTTCTGTGAAGAAAAAATACAACATTTTTAATTGTATAAATATCTTTCCTGAATACAACTATAATATTCGGACAAAACACTATATTTGTTTATTTCAGGTTTATAATATTTTTTTATTTTAAATGTAGTGTACATTATACTTGCATTTTCAGAACTATTTAAATAATATAATTCTGTTCATTTTACGCTCTAAAAATTTGACTTTTGCCATAAGCAACTGAAAACATGAATATAATAAGTCTATACACGCGTGATTTCATGTGAAACCCTAGAGGCAATTGCTTTCGTCAGATCCGTCAAAGCAATCTTCGAATCCATCACATTTCAATTTCTTATGGATACACTGCCTGTCAGTAGAACATTCAAACTCCCACCAATTTGTGCAAGTGTTCCACGAGGGATCTGAAATATAAAACAAAGATAATGGAAACTCACATATATGTGCAGAAAACCCATTAATTCAGATTTTTTTTATGCCAGTTTAACAGGACACATGATGTCAAGGCCTGTAGTCACAAAACACATCGAGCTTCAGTGGGTGTGCAGAAAAAAATAAATCTAAATTCAGCCTTTTTTAGGTTTCTATTATATCGAGATAATAATACACCACAAGGCACTACCAAAAACAAAAAAGCGTACTGGGTGAAAGGGTCATCGTGAGGACAAAGTGCAGGAAGGATTTAAGTTCCTATTCACTAAATGTTGAGATATCCTTGAGGTGAACCGTTTAAAAGGCTTTGACAATAGAACCCTTAACACAAACAACATTCAACCAACAAAAAAGAAGGCTTATTTTAGTACCAATGTTTCTCCCATGTGTTTGAGAGAAATGATATCTGCTTATTGAAACACATTGAGGATAGAATCAGTTATGTTAATCTCAAAATACAATCAGCATCAAGAAGTGGTTAACAGGCATGATCATATATATATGTAACACCCCAAACGTGTCCATCCACCCAAACGTGTCCAATTCCTTAAACGTGTCCATTTCGCCCAATCGTGTCCGCAAACTCATATATCGTCCAGACATGTCCAATTTCTCTTCCCCCAAACATGTCCGATTATTTACTTCGCTCAAACGTGTCCGATTTTTTTCTCGCCCAAACGTGTCCGAAATTTTTATCCGCCGAAAGGTGTCCACTTTAAGACGCCACAAATTTTCGATACTTTTAACGCTAAGATGTTCACAGTAACGTCAGTTAGGTCTATGACAAAATCAAAATAAATAATGGGGTTCCAAACGAATGCAGATGTCGGGTTTCTGCTGGAGGGCCAAAAAAAAATCAAAACTGCTATCCAAGGACATCAATGTAATTTGGACACAATTCCCGAATATTGAAAAGATACGGAGTTAAAAGAAGAAAATCTAAACTGGAGAGACTTCGTTAAACTGCAGAGATGGTTAGAGGTCTAAAAATTTAAATTGAAGCTTTTTTAAATGTGCAACTTTATTTTGAGTAAACAAAAAAAATAATAATAATAAATAATCAATATGTGTGGTGAGAGCTGAGCTGTGGAAAACGTAGATTATAACTGAGATGGGGAAAAAATGATTTCATGCAGTGTGATACAAGAAATATCTCTTCAAGCGAGAAATTGATAACAGGCTACAGCCATAAGAGAATTTTCCTAAATTTTACAAACCAGAACAGACAGTTTGGTCAGTTTTATTGTCACTTACCTGTACAGATTGAGGCTAATTCATCAGAACCATCTATACACGTTCTATGTCCATCACATTTCCATTGATTGTGAATACACTGTCCTGATCTACAACGGAACTGATTTGTACCGCATGTGTTATCTAGAACAATAAAAAAATGGGTTTAACAATCTTGGTCACATAAGTTTTCAAAATTATGTTTTTTCCTGAAAACCAACTAGACTTAATTTTGCATGATATCTAATGACTTTATAATTTTTAATAAAAAAAAATACTCGTCTGAATAATAACTTTTTTTCATAGAAACTCACCTTTCATCATTGCTCTCAGAAAAAAGAAGCAATGTAAGAAGATGGTATGAAAAACGCAAATCGTTCAATGCAGTTAGAAAAAACAAAAATTCATAACATTTTCAATTAATTAAAAATTTGACTACCGCAGGGAAATCGGTTTACTACCACTAGATCAGTATCGCTGCTTATGAAAAGGACTCTCTGCGAGTATGAATCTTTCAGGAGCATGTAATTCGGTCCTGGTTAAAATTAATTGGTACATTGTAAGGGAAACCAGTAGACAATTTTAGCTTACCTTTTTACAAATGTCCGTATGTTAGATGTACAATTTTTCTCACAAAAAGAAGCACTTTTCATTCATAATGATGTATCTTATACACAGCCAAATTTTGTTCACCTGCATGTCACGCTAACCTAATGTAACGTTGATTTCTTGGTGAATTTCACTTCACGTAAAATTTGAGAGAAATTGTGCGCGTGAATAATTACACGTGACACTTTTCATGTGAAATGTACGTGAAAAATATTAATTGTTTCTAATTATAGAAAAGGATAACAGCAAACTTCAGCTTTTCAAAAATGTAATACTGTGTGATACTTGTTTCATATCCACCTTTAAAAGTGATTGTTAACTTAAGAACTGAATATTTTAACATGAAATGCACGCCAAAATGTTCACGTTGAATTTATGTGAATCGGATTAATTGTGATTGTCATGTGAAAATTTCACGTTAACTTAACATAAATCAAAGTTAATGCGAAATTCACATGCAAATGTTAATGTTAAATTTACTTGAATCAAACTTGAATTTTCAAAATAAATTTTACATTCCGTTTCTAGATTTAAACTTTTGTTGCAAGAATACAAATTACACGAATTGTATAAACACATACTGATATTTATTCCTCAATTTTTGAACTTTTTCCTTTGTGTCTCAAGATTTACATATAAAAGGTGTACAAATATCATCAAATGAGTATTAGATCTTTGAATTATCTCCCTTTAAGGTGGTAAAGATAAGATGAAAAAATGCTGGTTTTCAATTGTTTTTCCTATCTCATTCTGTATACACTTAACTAAAAACAAAACACACATAATTAAGTTATTGTAACAATTATTACAATTTTCTAACAAAAACTGGGTAAAAAGTATGATGTGCTTTATGACCTTGTGTGTTTCGAATGCGGATCTAGCTCAGATGCACAGGGAACACCTCCTTAAGTTCAGAGTCAAAACATAGATTTATCTTATGGAAAATATGTCTCAATAGGCGGCATCACAGAAAATATAGTCTTTGAATTTAAGGAACACATCATCCTGTTTGAAAAATCCTGGATGACTGTATCATGGACATTGATTTATTTCTCTCTATATGTTATATTTTTCTAAACAGACATCAAACAATTATGATACATGCTTTCATTCAGTTGGGAATTCATAAATTCAGAAAGAAAACGTAAAAAAAAGTTTCCAAACTTTTTAAATCATCTGGGTTGTTTTTCTTACAAAGTTAGCCATCTCAAGTATATTCTGATCTTACGATATGCAAAACTTTTACTTCAATTACGTTTTGAAATACTGTTTGCTATAGATTGGCAAAGACGTGTTTTAATTGAATGGGTTAATCATCAATGTCATTGATACAAATTGTCAATTTTTGTTTTCAAATTATCTAACATTGTTATAGAATTTGTAAAGCATACTCGAAAATATAAGTTCTTACATCTTACATTTTGTTGTTTCTTTACAAAACCTTGCCAAAAAAATAAAAACATATATTGTAACTATGTTAAAACACTTATTGCTATGCAGAGAACTGTTACTCAGACTAATTATTACAAGTGAAATAGAGCTTTGAAGCACAAATGTGTTTAAATATCAAAACATAAACATAAAAATAACAACAAGTGGGTATACAGAAAAGTCATAACACTACAGGGAGATAACTCTTTAAAAATCAGCTGAACGTTTTAATTACGTTCTATTGTTAAGGAAATGTTAAAGTAAGCTTCTCAATAATCAAAATAAGTGTTTGTCAAACTGCTATATATCCAATGAAATTTTTCTGATAAAGTGTGGTTCAAGTTTTTTCTATTTCTTATGGTTAATAATCTATCGTTTATTTAGTTTAAAATTGTTGGTTGCTAAACATTCAGGTGCTAATATTTGACGAATTATAAAGAAATGGTTTATGAAACTTGTACGTTGAATGTACTAACATTATTTTTTGGTTGATAGATATGTCTGGAGGACTGAAATGGGCTTTTCTTTACTTAAGTATAGGACCTATCACAAAAACAAGTACTGCCTTTGTAAAAGGGAATGAAAAGTATGCACATTAGAGTTATATTTAGTAACTGGGTTGATTTATTTTTCTTGTCAACAGGAGATTATCCCATTTGAACAATGTTTCATTGCCCATTACAAAAGCATTATACATCTGATACTAACTCTAATGTAACATAATGTATAAGTTATGTCGCTTTTCCGGACGTACCTTTTTATTAAGATTAACAAAATATTTTGAAGTGAAATGTTTCCATGATGGAAAACTCGTAGATCGGAGAACTTCTTGGCCAGACAACACATAAGAGCTTATTTAATTAACTTACTGTATTGGCAGTTTCGTTCATCATATCCATATGGACAGTCCGAAGATTCATCACAGAATTTGTGTGGCGATATACAACCATTTGATCTGTCGGCAGTACATCTTACCTGTCCGGGAGGACAGTCTAACAATATATAAATGAATAACTATGCATCAAAATGAAAACTTTAGGTTAGGGGAGGGTTGGCGCCTTCAAACGAGTTTAACCCCTCCAGATTCTGTATGTGCCTGTCCCAAGTCAGGAGCCTGTAATTCAGTGGTTGTCGTTTGTTGCTGTAATATATTTGTTTTTTGTTCATTATTTTGTACATAAATTAGGCCGTTAGTTTTCTCGTTTGATTTTTTTTACATTTGTCAGGTCGGGGCCTTTTATAGCTGACTATGCGGTATGGGCTTTTCTCATTGTTGAAGGCCGTACGGTGACCTATAGTTGATGTGTCATTTGTCTCTTGTGGAGAGTTGTCTCGTTGGCAATCACACCACATCTTCTTATTTTTATATTTAGGACTTATTTCTTCTTTTTTTAGCTGTTGTTGTATGCAATAAATCAGGATTAACTTTTTATACAACTGAAATGTATAATTTACAGTGCATTTTTACATTGCAACTTTAGGATGGCAATTCATGTATTCACAGCAGAGTACCATTGAAATATATACGTGAAAGACGAGTATTCAGCAAATTTGTATCGTTGTATTTGAAAATGCGTACTGAGGAATTAGTACCATACTTGATATTGGCGAAAATTTCCTCTTGTCGAATGTTTTTTTCTTCTTCAAATATTGACCTATGACAAAGAATCTCTAAAATTATCTAAACATATGTTTAAGAAAGCAAACAATAACCCAAAACTATAGGTCATGTATGATGTCATTTTCAATATTATTTTATTTTTGTTTTTTTAAATGTTTTATGCTTTCTTCTGACATTTTGTTCTTGGTTATTATTACGTACTGGAGTTACTGCAGCACTTTCTTATCTTATACCCTGCTACTTTCTACTGACGAGGAAAGGTAACACTAGGCCAACGAAAGCTCAATTATTAGTTCAGTCTAGGTGGCCGAGTGGTCTAGAGCGATGGGCACAGTGCAGGCGGTGTTGTCTCGATATCCCAATAGCATGAGTTTGAATCCCGGCGAGGGAAGAACAAAAATTTGCTTCCGCAAATTTGCAGAATTAATATTGTTGTGCTGATATTTAGAGTAGTATATATATGGAAGTCTATAAAAACGACCAAACAGCAAATTTAATAGGTATTGAATCGTTTAGAATTGGCGATGCTACACAAACAGTAAAAAATCAGAAATGTCTAAAGATTTGTGTAAAGATACTGATTTGAGATAGTACTATCTTACATCAGTATCATTGCACACATCTAAAGAAATTTATTTATATATATATATGAATTAACGGATATGTGGTATACGTCACTTAGACAGCAACCCAACAAAACAATAAAACCAATACGAGAATATCGATTTACACATACAATTTTCAATTATAGGCAAGTGTCTATACCATTAGTTAAGCTTGAACGCTCAGCTAAAGTTGAATTAATCACCAATAAATGAATGAATGTATTAAAGACTACCAAAAATCTCCACCAAGGAAAAGTATTTTGATGCAATCTACAACAGTCACAGACAGTGTCCATGATTTGATACATGCAAATTATTATATGCTCGAATTAAAGCATTTTTCATAGCTTAAACTCCACTATATTGATTTGGAACGGAGCTCGAAATTAGACCCTTATATTAGTTTCTTTTCTTCTGTCCTGTGTCGTGGAGATTTTCTCATTGTGTTAATTTCTCCTTACCATCACTCTTAGCCGGTACAGCGATTCAATCATCTTTGCACCATTTCAGTATAAAAACTGAGAGAACAGTTGACAAATAAGTAGATAATTGTAAATCTCATTCTTACCAAAACTTCTTGTAGTGTAACTGGCCTGGAAGCCAGACCGTAAATTCTCAAAATCGGATTTAAATGTAACCAACATGTTGTTTCCTCTCGTCTCTACTGTTCTTGGCTCATCATAATTGCCCAAACCTAAAATCATTACGTCGGATGTACGTGTGCCATCATAAACCTATTATAAATGCAAGCACATGAGTTAGAAACACTCTTTAAATAATAGTCCGAGTACTAATGTTACACCCTTTTTATCGTTTTTCAGTTTTACAAGGTTTTGTGAATTGCCTGTTTAAGTTTCTTAACTAAAATTCATGCACTAAACTCTTTATAAGAATCTCATATCTATAGCTATAAACTGTTCAATTGGTAGTTAGTCTGAAAGTTGGAGAATTTATTTGTATCTATGCTGTATACATTGTGTAATGTCTTAAGATTATACTAGAGACATCAATCAATATGCAATTCATATGATCGTATACGACTACGACTCATCAACTGAATCTAAAATGAGTTGCATGACGGTCGACACTAGTTGGTCATGCATTCTTAGCTTATTTTTGTAGGAAGGGTGCAAACTGTATCAAGACGACTGCTCGTTAATCATCTAAACAGTGCTCACGCCTAAGGAATGTTAGTATCTCACTTTACTTACTTTTCCTAAATATTTCATAATCACTCTTTTTTGCATTTGCATTTGCATTGAAACTATTTTCTAAGCAACATTTTTTTAAATCCATACATCAAATGCACCTCTAATTAAATAATAAGCATTTTTTTTATTTATTTATTTTTTCATACAGTTAAGAAGAAATTTCTTCTTTTACATTTCAGATCAAAAATCCAGTGCCATTTTTTAGCGCACGAAAATCCATTTTGCCCATATGCTTTTCCCTCTAAAACGAGCACACGGACCTATTTTCCCTTTTTCAAATTTGGGTTGAATTATATTTTAACATTGTTCGTTTTCAATTTTAGTATTAATTGAAATCTATTCATCTATTAGTGATAAGGACATGGATCATGTTTTACAATATCGTTATTTCATATTTGACTATCAACACTTTAAGGCATTAATTATATAAATATAAGACAAATAAAGGTCACTTGTCTAAATTTGCCGATTCCGTACCTCCATCTAACGGAGGGTAGCGAATTTCACCCGAGGATTGCCGATTGAAATAAATGTATGACGAAAAGGAATAACTGTCAGACATATTTTTTTAACTTTAAACTTTACACATGTTTACAGTTTAAATATGAAAATGTTAGTTAGCATATAGATTAAAGAAAGAAGCGGTATAAAAATGGACATGATGTATTAGAAAAATTATATCCCCTAACTCTAGCAATGAACCGATACATTGATTTATTTTATCCGATTTACAGTACATGCCAAACAATGTATGTGTAGTGTTTGCTAAAGAACGTACACATTTAGTTTACAAAAAGAAAGAAAAAAGAAGAAACGGAAAATATCCACCAAAAATACATACAAATAAAAATTCCAAATAGCTATGTATTTTGAGTTCAGTTAATGTCAGTTTTATTGTGTATCCGGCTGGAACACTGATGTAATAACGACACAGTTGCCTTCTTCGAAATGGATTTCGATATCTTGGAGTCCCAAAACTTCCCATGAGACTCGTGAAATGTCCTTCACAAGTGTCTGAAAGTAGTAATAAACGAAGATTACTTCACCAAACTAAAATATTTCATTTTAAACGTATAACTTCAACTGCGAATGACACCTATTTCGTGTATAATCTTCAAAATGTACATGTACTTCTTGTACGTTTCATAAAAAAACGTATGTCAGAAATTTTGATCAATTCTTAAACATAGAAAAGAACATTCACAATGGGGATTTCAATTTAATGCGAAACAAAAAAGTTGCAAATTACATGTTTCGACCGATATAAAGAAAAACAACATCAACATTCATCGCCACATTCGTCTTTTGTTGTTACAAGGAACAATAAATTATAATAAAGATTAATTAAATATTTCCATATGCCATTTCGATAGTATGATAGTGTCTGAAATAACAAATGAATACATCAAGCAATACTTCTGAAAGATTGTGATTGATATTATTCAAACGCGCCTTCAGCACGACCCTGCTGTCCGACATCACGAATACACGGTATATACATATAAAGAAAATTGAAAACGTTGTCATTTCGGAAGTGTTATATACTAAAAGTTTACCTGTTTCACATCTTAATCCCGTGTAACGCTGACTGCACGAGCATGTGTATTCCTCTGTAAGGTTGTTGCAAACACCTCCGTTTTTACAAGGATGTGAGCTGCACTCATTTGTGTCTGAAATAAACAAGTGAATACATGTTTCTTGATTTTTGAAAGATTTTGATTAATATTATACATTCTATTCAAACAAAAATACTTTCAAGGAAAAGTAAAAGCGTTGACCCATGATTCAAATTCATTGTAAAATTAGCTTTAAATATTATGGAAGATGTCAAAATTCACTTTTTTGAAAATATATACATTTCTTATTGGATGCAAAAAAGCTTTAAAATATTCCTTTCTTTATTTCTACTCTTCGAAAAAAAAAGTATGCTACATTTTTGCGATGGCAAATTAAATTTGTCGAAAGAAATTTCGCAAAATGTTAATAAAAAGAAATATGAGGTCCCTGGATATAAGTAAATTTATTAACTTGACGAAATTGAAATCGAATGAAAATCTGTTACTCTTTCTTGAGATATACAGGTTAATTTATTAATTTGGCAAAACTGAAATTGAATGAATATCTTTTACTCTTTCTTGAGATATATAGGTTAGTTTATTAATTTTGCAAAACTGAAATTGAATGAATATCTTTTACTCTTTCATGAGATATATAGGTTAATTTATTAATTTTGCAAAACTGAAATAGAATGAATATCTTTTACTCTTCCTTGAGATATAGGTTAATTTATTAATTTGGCAAAACTAAAATTGAATGAATATCTATTACTCTTACTGGAGTATAAGTAAATTTATTAACTTGACGAAACTGGAACTGAATAAATATCTAAGCAAATTAAAATTGAGATACATTTTCGGATAAATAAATTATTTTGTTTGCTATCATTTTTTATGATATAATGTGGTATGTCAGAACAAAAGTAAAATATATTTGTATGTTTACGTGAGATTTTTACGAATTAAATTCTCTAAGACCATTTATTCATTTTTATTTAGTTTTCTAAACAAGGACACATATTTTATCTAAATACCGATGTTTGTAAAAATGGAATGCTCATTGTGGCAGACCATAAGGTGACCAATAGTTGCTAACATCTACGTCCTTTAGTCTCTTGTGTAAAGTTGTCTCGTTGGCAATCATACCACATCTTCTTATTTCTATATGTGTTCGAAAGAACAATCGATTGTACATCTACACTGTAATGGTGGTAACTACGCTGCACTCTCCACAGAACTCAGTGCAGCAAATTTTTCATGCTTATGGATAGGTTCTTAGATTTTATTTTTATCATACAGAATGTCATTGAGGTTGAAATATCATAGGTCCAGATTACGTAAGACATATATAACCGGAAGGTAAATAAAGAAAAAGTGTAAAAAGCAAGAGATATTGAAATAATCCAGACACGAACTTTATTTATGTGATCATTTGTTGTTTCAGGTAACCAATTTTATTCGTGGTGGAATTACATGACACAATACGATGAAATATTTATATGAGGGTCTGGTTGGGGTTTACAGAATAGAGAATAATAGGCAAAAAGTGCAGAATAAAGGGCTAACAAATATAGAATAGAGAAGAAAGCCAAACAAATAAAGAACAGAGAGAAAAAGGCAAACAAATAAAGAATAGAGAATAATCGGAAAGAATAGAGAAAGAGCGCCAAAATAAATAAATAAAGAATAGAGAAAAATGGTCCTAAAATCAAAGTGTACAGAAATGAAGGACCCCCATCCAGACCCTCTTATATGATAATAATGGGAAAATCCCTGATTATAACGCAATTTACAGACAAACCAAGCATGTGATTGATTTTGAAATATTTGGACGACGAAGGCTATCCCTTTGTAGTTTCACAGTGTGTAATACGCTAGATGTTAAAATGAAATTTGTTTCATATAATTGTGTAGAGTTAATTCGTTAAAAAAATCTCACATGAAATACAAATCTATTTTACTTTTGTTCTGCAATACCACATTATAATATATAAAATAAAATAATAGCATACACAATATTCTATTAATCAGAAGATGTGTCTTAAGTTTCAGGAAAGTAGATACCCGCTCAGATATTCATTCAATGTCAGTTACATCAATTTAATAAGTTAAACTTTGCTTTTGTCTTAAAACTATTTGAATTTATAAAAACAAAAACCGCAAACACAGTGCAAAAAAGCCCCGTTTAAATATGTTGTCATTCATATTTAGATATGAGAAACAGTCTTACCCAAAATGAGTTGCCATAAACAAATATATTTATGTTGGTTATCAATTTTGAATACTAGTATCCTTTTTTTTACTAAAGGCTGCGGTGCATGCTTAATTTTGTCAAGTTATCACGTGTAAATGGTCATATAAGAATATAAATTTGTGGTATGATTGCCAATGAGACAACTTTTCACCAGAGACCAAATGACGTAACTTTAGCTACTATAGGTCACCGTATAGCTTTCAGCAATGAGCAAAACCCATACCGCATAGCAAGCTTTAAAAGGCCCCCACATGATATATCAAGTTCGACAGGTTTATGACATTATAGTGACATCACAATGATTTATCTGCAATTAAGTGCCCAGATTACAAATGTATTTCATCCTATTCATTATTAATATATTATATAAAATTGAGAATGGAAATGGGGAATGTGTCAAAGAGACAACAACCCGACCATAGAGCAGACAACAGCCGAAGGCCACCAATGGGTCTTCAATGCAGCGAGAAACTCCCGCACGCGAAGGCGTCCTTCTGCTGGCCCCTAAACAAATATGTATACTAGTTCAGTGATAATGGACGTCATACTAAACTCCAAATTATACACAAGAAACTAAAATAGTCAACATTATTTAAAACTGATTAAAAAAAGGCGGTAGATACCAAAAGGACAATCAAACTCATAAGTCGAAGAGAGACCGAAATAACCATGGCATAAACGAAACAAGAGTGCACACGCTGAAATGTCTCGCCTTCTTTACTAATCATTGATATTATGTTGATAGTCCTAAATATAAAGCTTTATTACAACTGTCACATAAACTTAACATTAACCAAGTAAACTAAACATTGACCAATGAACCATGAAAATGAGGTCAAGGTCAGATGAACCATGCTAGGCAAGCATGTACAGCTAACAATTCTTCCATACAACAAATATAGTTGACCTATTGCTTATAGTTTAAGAAAAACAGACCAAAACACAAAAACTTAACACTGAGCAATGAACCTTGAAAATGAGGTCAAGGTCAAATAAAACCTGCGTGACTGACAAATAGATCATAAAATATTTCCAAACACCAAATATAGTTGAACTATTGCATATAGTATTAGAAAAAAAGACCAAAACTCAAAAACTTATCTTTGACCACTTAACCATGAAAATGAGGTCAAGGTCAGATGACACCTGCCCGCTACACATGTACACCTTACAATCATTCCATACACCAAATATAGTAGACCTATTGCATACAGTATAAGAAAAACAGACCAAAACACAAAAACTTAACTATAACCACTGAACCATGAAAATGAGGTCAAGGTCAGATGACACCTGCCAGTTGGACATGTACACCTTACAGTCCTTCCATACACCGAATATACTAGACCTATTGCTTATAGTATCTCAGATATGGACTTGACCACCAAAACTTAACCTTGTGCACTGATCCATGAAATGAGGTTGAGGTCAAGTGAAAACTGTCTGACGAGCATGAAGACCTTGCAAGGTACGCACATACCAAATATAGTTATCCTATTACTTATAATAAGAGAGAATTTAACATTACAATAATTCTTAACTTTTTTTTCAAGTAGTCACTGAACCATGAAAATGAGGTCAAGGACATTGAACATGTGACTGATGGAAACTTCGTAACATGAGGCATTCATATACAAAGTATGAAGCATCCAGACCTTCCACCTTCTAAAATATAAAGCTTTTAAGAAGTTAGCTAACGCCGCCGCCGCCGCCGCCGGATCACTATCCCTATGTCGAGCTTTCTGCGACAAAAGTCGCAGGCTCGACAAAAACGACGAAAAGACAAACAACAGTCTAAGGAACATTACATAGAAAACTGAAGACAGAGCAAAACGAACCCCAACAAAACCCGGAGGTGATCTCAGGTGTTCCGGAAGGTTAATCAGAGCCTGGTCGACATGTGGCACCTGTCGTGTTGCTTACGGTAAGTAAAAATTCGGTGATAAGTTTCATTCGATGATGTTATAATCACAGAAAAAATGACGAGATTGTGAATACGACAATTGGGACATATCATATGTCATCTATGACAGTTATTCCATCACAGTCAACTAAAATCATGGTGACGTCCGTAAAACTTTTAAATGAATGACTTCAACTTTATCGCAAGGAAACCTTGGTTCAAAAGCTTCCTTGTAAACAGCAACCCTCTATCAAGGAAATAATGACATTGTTATGATATTGTGATTATTATATTTATTTATATTGGCTTAATTTGTTTTGTGTGGCCTTATAACATGTATAATATGTTTACATAATAATTATAGTTGTTTACATCTGTGCAGTTTAGAAATCACTGGAACAATCATAGATACAGATGGAATGATTAGAACTTTCTATATGACTTACATAATAATTCTGGAATGATCATAATCTACGATGTGTAATTTAAACTTCTATATTGTTCTAGAAGTTTCCGTGATAACTTTATATACAGTTACCAAAATTACAGATAGACATTAACAATCTTGTATTATCAAAATCCTCTCAGTTGGATTGACATTTTTATTTACGTTTATGTAAAGGCATATCTAATCCAACTAAAAAGAAAAAGAAAAAAATGAAACAAGTATGGTCAGATAATACAGTATATGAAACAAAAAGACAAATAAACTATATAGGAAATAAAATCAAGAATAACTTAAATGACAAAAGTTTAAAACCTAAATATTTTGAATTATGTAAAAAACTAAAAAAAAAAAATGATTAAACAGAAAAAAATTGAATATCACCAAAAACTTTATAAATCACTTTCAGATAATTTTAAAAATAATCCAAAAGAATATTGGAATGTTCTAAAGGCAATAAGAAAGAAACCAAATATTGAAGAAGATATTCCTGAAATTTTAATGAATGAAAA